AGATTTTATATCTTGGTATATGAGCATATTCTGTATTATGAGACATGACATGAGTTCATATAAAATGCATTATATGACATGAATATGCGGGAAAAGTTATGAGCTATGTGAAAAGGTAATAATTTACATGTCTACGCGATATAGACTACGTGAAATGTAAAAGCCCATGTTATGTAGATGAGAACTATAGGTATAGTTGGCATGCCAAGGGTAGAGGGTCTACGCGGTCCTTCGGGACAAAATTCTACGCGGTCCTTCAGGATATATATATATTCTTTGGAACATGTGTGAAGTCTGGTGAGACACATATGTGATCCCTAGCATATGTATATGATTCTTAAGGAATTCTATGTGGTCCTTATGGACATTATTATATGGCACTACGGTGCAATTCTACGCGGCACTTCGGTGCATTTATACGAGCTGTGGTGACAGCATAGTGCACAACCTCACAATACTCAGATACCTTAGGTTCTCAATATAATATCATGGGCCAATAAACTCATTAATACAAATTCATGAATGTTAAAGTAATATGCTTACAGGTAAGGATAATGGTGATGTAAACTACCTTGATTAAGTATAAGCTTTCATCTCATTTCATATCATTATGACATTTTCATTACATTGCCTTGTTATTATTATTACATTGCCTCACTAAGTCGATGACTTAGCGTGTGAGTGTTTCATACGTAGGATCCGAGAAAGTAGACGAGACAGGTGAAGCAGCTTGACAGCATTACTCCTGCAACCACCAGATCAGAAGCAACTTAATCAGTAGGTCATTTTATTATGTAAATGGTCGTTGGCATGTAATTAAAGGGTTAAGTTGTGTATGCTCTGAATATTTTGGTAAACTTATATTACAATATGTATATTATCATATTTTCTTAATATAAGTTCAAATATTTTGCTATTATTGGTTAAGAGTTGTGTTTTAAAAGTCAATGTAATATCTCTGACTCATATACGGGTCGGGTACGGGTTGGGGGTGTTACATCGGTATTGTTCACGGTATTGTTCATATCATTATTCACAGTACTGTTCATACATTATAATACTGTTCAAACCGTATATTATTGTTCATAAAAACGTTTTGACTTAAATTTTTATAATGAATTATAATTTAATCGTATATTATTGTATTTTCTTAATATAAGTCCAAATGATCTGCTATTTTGTAAAAGTAAAGGTTTTGAAATATCAATGTGACATCTCGGACTCGTATCCGGATCGGATACGCGTTGGGGTGTTACAATGCCTTTGTGTGGAAGGTTGTCCATCAAAGATTATCGATCATTCTAGAGCTAGAAAAGCGTGGAGTTTCATGTAAGGATAATTCCCTTTGTGTATTGTGCAAAAAAGAATCAGAATCGATCAATCATGTTTTGTGTCATTGTGACGTTGTATGGCAAGTATGACAGCGTTGGTGCAGTGTGTGGAAGACCAAAATTATATTTCTCATAAACATTAAAGCATTTTTTTGAGGTGTGGTGCAGTCAAAATGTAAGATGGAAGCTTCGATCCTTGTGGAATTTAGGGTTCTTTGGTCTTATTTGGAATATTTGGATTTGCAGAAATAATGTCAGGTTTAATGGGTGTTTATTGTCAGTATAAAAAATGTTTGATCTAGCCTTGTTTAAGATTGGGGTTTGGGTTGATAGCTTATGGCCGATGTTAATTCTATCTGTTCATGATTTTGTTAGATGCCTTGAATCTGTTATCTTTGGTGTTAGATGAAGGTGGTTCTTGGATCATGTAGATTTTCCATGCAACGTTTCTGGTGGTTGCTTGAGTCATATTCGGTTTTGTTGGCTCAAGTTTTTCACTTGGCATTAGGAGATTGTTCGTTCCCCTTCGCTGTTGATGTTCTGATCTTGTTTCAGCTGTGCATCTCCATTGTGCTTCCATATCTGGTTCTATTTTATTGCTTCTAAAAGTAGGATATAAGCTTGGTGATTTACTTGGTGTTTAAGGGTGGAGTTCTGTGGGGTGGGATTTGTGTGCTCATTGCTCGTTGTATTAGTTATTTCCATTTGTTTTTCCTTATGAAGTTCGATTCTATCTCACTCCAATGTGCACTCTTTTTCCTCCATTTAAGTTTAAGGAGGTTTTTTAATAAGGGCATTGGGATGGAGTACTTTGTATTCAATTCCAATATATACAAAGTGCCTTTTTTTAAAAAAAATGAAGCTTTTATCCGAGCAACTTCTAAGTACATTTGGTTCGTGGAATGTTAGGTTATTTATAAGAATAAGATTATCATAATGTAACATTACTCGTTACATTATCTAAAATATTACATTAACTTATTTAATTTATTTAATTGAAATATAAAATAATAGTATTCGGTTGATAAAATATAAGATATAAATATTTAGTTGATAGAATATAAGAATACCTAAAAGAGAACTTTACTAAACTATTGTAAAATAGTCTTTGACGAATTGAACGTTTAATAGTAAATTAAAAGATATTGACATAAAATTCCACTGAACTATTTCGTTTCACTCCACCTAAATTGTACATTAAATTTATATTTAGAATATTATTCATATAATAAATATATTAAACAATGTTTAAAAACAATTAGTTTAATGGTTATTAAGATTCTTAAACTTTTATTAAAAAACAAATATGATTATTGAACTTATTTTGTATCCAATGTGATCTTTAGATTGAAAAATAATAATATGATAACTGACGAAAATAATCATTGATCGTTACAATATCGATATATTAATTCATGATATTGACGTAATAGTTAGTATTAACGTGACGATCTATGTTTAATAATAGTGTAACGGATGAGCTTAATTGATTATATTAGAAATTATAAATTTATAAAATCAGTATTTGACCGTAGGATTAAAAGAAAAACAAGATTTGCATCCCTAATGTACTTTCATGACTATAGACTCCGGTGAACGGTCTTGAAGACGAACAGTAAAATTGATGTCCTGATCGATAGTATTTCACTTCATTTTGAAATAATATTGTGATCGGTTGGTACGACCGATACCGATACGGTTGTGTTCGGATTTCGAGCATGCCTAAATTGATCCACTTCTTTCTCCATCATCTCGATTATCTCATCTTTCCTAGCAATGGTTTCCAAAAGCCTCGAATTTTCATCTCTGAGTTCTTCAAATTGGCAAACTATACCTTCAATCTGTGCTTCAATGGCTTCATCACTCAATTCCATAGCACTTTCCACCACCCTCACCACCTCCATAAACTCGCTACCACAAGCAACCCTCCGCCTTTTGCCTCCACAACGGCTTCCAAAACCAGTGCTCCGATGACAACGACGCCATCAACAACATAGCCTGGCCTTCTCAAGAACCCTCCGGGGCCGAGCACCACCGCTAAAGCCACCGTCTTAGCTGAAAGCACCGCCAGGATAGAGATCCCCACCCAATGAAACCAAGCTGATTTCTCAACGTTTTGCTACATGAAACTAACGTCGAGGATAGTTCGAGGACGGTGAGAATCAGGTCGGCGAGAAGCAACGATATCGCGAGAATCCGGATTTGAATAGATTCGAGAAACTCGGCCAACTGATCTCTCCAGGGTGCTATGCTTGGTGGTGATGATCTTGGGTTGAACATTTGTTGCCATTGCTGTCTCTTGTACCAGTTTTTTATGAGAGTTTGAATTGATATCTCAACGGATTCAATTGCGATTGGTTGATTTTGAGAGGGGCCATTGGTGCAATTATTCGAATTCATTTGTGGGAAATTTAAGTGGTGGAAATGGATATATAGATATGGATACAAAATAAAATCGATGATTATTATAGAATTTGGCGGAAGGAAGATGACAATGGTGATCGATGTTGGCTTGTAGCCTAAGGCAAGTTAGGTTTTCAAGAATTGTTTGCTTTGGGGTCACGTTGATGATCAGTTAACTGTTTTATACGTATTATGTATATGGTTTAATTACACCACATGTTCTAAGTTATGCTTCATATTTTATATTGATCCTTAAATTTCAAAATGTTTTTAATTAAATCCTTTCAGTATTCGTATTGTGTCAATCAGATCATTCTAACAATGTGACCACCAACTTGGGTGTAAAATGTTAACTTAGACCTAATGTGGTATTTACCTAAAATAAATGGATCAAACTCTAAACACGTGTGCCTATTAAATGGAGAATTTAGATATAATTTCTTGAAAAGATATTCCTATTAAAATTTAATAATGTGGTATTTACCTAAAATAAATGGATCAAACTCTAAACACGTGTGCCTATTAAATGGAGAATTTAGATATAATTTCTTGAAAAGATATTCCTATTAAAATTTAATGATATTATATTTTAATAGTACAAAAAAATTAGCTGACCCTATTCCCATATGTAATGGGGTAAGGGGGAGGTAGGGTAGTGGGCTGCCCCCAACATTAGGTTAAGAACCTTGCGCTCTACCAACTGAGCTGGACGGGCAATTCTATATTTTAATAGTACGTCAAATATAAATAGTTCATGCAATAAATGCACGTGTCTAAAATCCGATCAGTGTGTTCTGATTTTCGGGTTAAATCCAGGTTGGTTTTTTGAGATCTCAAATCTCAATTACGACGTCTTAAAGTTTGAGATCATTTTAAAACAAAAGTATAATGTAGGGATTTGTAGTGGAGTTAACCCTATATATATTTATGCATATGTCGTCATTGAAGTTAAAGCTTCAAGTAAAATCCGACCGCCAAGACCATAAACTATGGCGGCTGCTTCCGCTCCATCGAAGCCCAAATGGCCACCCAAAAAAAAAATGCGTCAAAGCATTACAAAGGATATAAATAATAAATATGAAATGAAGGACGGGAATAGTAGTCGTCTCATAAAAATTAAAAATTATTATATATTTTATATTTATTTTATGTATTTTCTATTAAAATCTGTTTTTGTTCTCTAGCCTAATGTAGTATATCCGTTCATGCTCACAAACAGGGCTGATGAGAAAGCGAAGAAGAATATATAAATAAAGAATCAGAATTTGATTACAAACCAAACAGGTGAACCAAGATATATATATATAATGGTCCCCTATTGGCGAGAGAACTGGTTGTACCCAGATGAACAACAACAAAACTATAAGTAATCGTACATAAATACACACATACTGTTGCTCCAGTTAATGTTGATCTATATATTGCAATGATCATAACCAAAGAACCATGATGAGTTTTCCGCAAGTTTCGATGATAACTCGCCATCCTCACTGTTAAAGAATGGTTCGAATTCTTCTCGCCATCGCTGATCGCCGGCATCGTGTATCTCACCTGCATCATATTTGGGAATATCAAACTTGTCATAAGAAGGTGGTATTGCTTCTTTAGGTAGACGTGATTCTGCAAGCAGGTCGTTAAGAGTGCTGATCTTTTTGTGAGCCTTCTCGGTTTCTTGTTCTGCTTCCATTGCTCGCTTCTGCAATTATTTTAAAACAGATGGAAATGAGAACAGTCTAATAAGTTTCAAGTAGTCTTCCAACATATAAGCAATATGACACAGACTGAAGATTATCGAACAGTGAAGTTAAAGTGCATACTTGAGCAGCAGCTACAGCTTCCTCGGCTTCTTTTAGACGTACAAGCACTTCGCCTGCAGCCTGGATTGCTTCAGCAGTATCCCTCAACTGAGCCTGGAGTCCTCTATTTTCATCCCTGAAATATCGTCTCTCCTTTTCCCTTTGCTCTTTCAATGCAGAAATTTCGGCAGCGAGGGCATTTATGAACTTGGATTCAGCACCCCTGACCCCTGCCCTAGCAGCTGCCTTTTTAACATCATCTATTCCCTCTTGAATCCGTCTATGCCTTGCAAGCAATTGAATATGTCTTTCTTCAAGATCTGCATACTGTTCAAGCATTCTTGCATGTCCTTCCATAGCCATCTGCATTGCTTCCTTTAATTCTTCTGCACATTTCTTCTCCATATCTAGTTCCTGCTTCCTTTTCTCAGCCAGCAACCTGGCAGCATCAAGTTCAGTCCTCAGTTCCTCTGCAAGAGAAATCCATTTGCTTTCTGCTTCAGTCCACTGAATTCTCTCTTGTTCAAACTTTTCTTCGGCACTCTCCTCACTCATCTCGGGTATTGCACAAAGAGGTGGAGGCGCATTAGGATCACATGAATATGTCAACTTCAGTATAGAATTTTGTCTTCGAGATAATGAGGAAGAAGAGTTTATGTAATACTGTAACTGGTTCCTTAAATCTTGAATTTCTTCTAACAATACTTCCCTCTCACCCAAATCATGAAAATTTCGAAATTGTTCCAACTCATCCTGAACTCTTTTTAACTCAATCTTCGTTCTTAAAACCTCAGGATGGTTCTCATATTTCTCCTTCAAAAGCTGAAGGCAATTGGTAAGTTATAGATGCATAAAAATGTTAAACTAAAACAACTTAAAAGACCAAGCATATACCTTGTGCTCATGCATGAGGGAAGCTAGCTCTTCTTCCAAGAATTCCTCAGTAGGTAAAACATCATCCATAAGGCTCTCAAGGCGAAGAATTTTATCTTCCCTTGTCTGTCCTATGATTGCGTTGCATTCTCTCTCATGTTTGTACTGTTGCACCTGTAAATTATAACCCGATAAATATAAAGTCAACAGTTTACAGTGTTGATGGCCACAGGTACAATTACGAAGAACCTACCAAACGGTTTAACTGCATTATTTCGGAAGCTTGCTTAGCACAGAACTCTTCAAGAGCCATTTCTCTCCTGATAGATCCAGCCAAAACCTTCTCTACTGCCTGAGCAATAGAAAAGTAAAATCATGTTAATTATGTTGAAAATATAAATCTGCAATACTATGGCTAAGAACTATTACCTTTGGAACTTGCTTCTTGGTTTTCTCAGAAGATTCAGACTCATTGAATAATACTAACTGTAAGTTTGAGCTTTCATAATATCTTCACCCTCCGGACTTTTTCTCCGCTTACAATTAGTACAAAGATTTTCTTCTCCTTGAATCTCATAATCTTGAGGGAATGTTTGAATTCCGGCATCAACTTTAAATTCTGCAAGGTTTGGCTTAGAATCAGCGGGTTTCAATGAAAAACGATATGAAGATCTCCTCAATGCTAAACTCCGACCAATAACCTCAAGACCACGATGGAGGCTTGCTGCCAAATGTTCTGTTGGTGTGAAAGATACATGCGTAGCCTCTGGGCCATCATCCTTAGGATCTTTCTGGGAAGCAGTGAGCACAGATGATGTCCTCGGGCTCTTCCTACTCTGGTTAACTTTAGGTGAGACACTTGATGTTGGGGGTTTAAGAATCCCAGAGGAATCTCCATCAGTTGTTTCAATAGTTAGATGGCTTGGATTCTCTTTGACATTATCATGAGCAATAATAATGTTTGGGGAATTCGTAGCAGGTTCAGCACAATCAACAGTCATTCTTTCTGAAGTTCTAAGCTCATCGAATATTTCTTCCTCAATGTGCTGATCCTCAACATCTTGTGCTTTGCCACATTCAGATGTATTAATTCCTGGATCACCAACACATCCAATCTTGGATGTGGCTGTTCTTGAATCTGATACATTTATCTCTAGTTTGGCCACTTCATTTGATTGGCTATATATATCTGCATACTGCAAACCTACTTGAGCACAAAGATTCTCAACAGCTTCCTCATCAATTTCCATCTCCTCATCACCATCTTCATCAACATGAGGTAATGCCCTTGGATGATTGAGGCTAAATTTTAACAAATTCAAGCTTCTACGAGCATTCCATCCAGTTGAGTAACCTGCATTTGGGTCAGTTTGGTTGTTTCCATTAGCTTTCATTCGATTGAGTTCATCCTGCATGATTCCATCCACATTTGTTAGAGGTTCACTGGTCACACATTTTCAGCATGACTGATTTAAAGGTGGGGAGAGGGGATTATGAGAACATACCTTTAGCTGTCGAATCACTTCACGCAGAAAATTTACATCATCTTGCATGACTTCATTGACAACTGCCTTGTTCTTGATTGCCTTTGCACGTTGAGCAAATCGTAATGTGCTGAACGTTTCACTCTTACAGCTGCAAATATTACTCGCTTAAACTTTCCTTCCAAAAGAGAAAAGAAAAGGAGGACATCTTAAATCAAATAGGACAGTTTTGTTTTTACCTTTGTGCAGGATAAATTGCGCATACCATTGCTAATTTTGCATTGCCACCAAGAGATTCTTGCAATAAAAATGTCAACTTGGAGTCTCTATAGGGTATATGCCTTTGCTTTCCAGTTTGGGAAACTTCAGCAAGAATGTTTATCACGTTCCTGAATTCCAAATATTATGTACAATTAACAAAAGAGCTAGTGTACAACACAAATAAGAACAACTTGGAGATCAACAATTTTCAGAACTATAATTAGCCAACTATTTAAAATCTAAAAGAATTGAAAATCAGTAAGAATGTCTGTCAAGTTCATGAGCAATATTAAGTGATATTAGCAAAAATGCTAGTGTACAACACAAATAAGAACAACTTTATATATCTGTTCAATTTGTAACCGAAAACCTACATCAGTCAAGATGACATCACACTTGGAGATCAACAACAATGTTTGGTACAATAGTTTGCCAACTATTTGAAAACTAAAGATTCTGAATAGTTGATGCATCAAACTGTGACAAAGTTGGAAAAATATCTACAATTTTGTACAATTAGATATCAACTAGAGAGTCTAGAGTTAAGGATGACAGTAAAGAAAAAAATAAAAAAGCATACCCAAGCTGCGAGAGTGAACGATTAATATTGCCTGCCTCCTTTAAGCGCTCCCCTGCAGCACCAGTTAACTTTTGTCGCTCTGAGCCAGCTAGATCAACGAAATTTATCCGGCTTGTTTTGAAGCTACTTAAACCATCGGCTACACTCTGTAACAATAAAGAGTACTTCTGAATCCCTCAAGCATGATTGAGAGAAGGAAAAAACCCAAAAAATAGGTAATACTTTCCACTTGTTTTGCAGATCATTAGGTCCTTGTAACTTTATTGTTTACAGAAATTAGCAAATAAATAATGACATGGTATATAAGAAAATTCCTTTTTGCAGAGCTACAAAATTAGTGATTTGATACCACCAATTTGTAATTGGAAAAGAAGTATATTGGATCAAGCCTAAATCCTAGAAACACAAAATAAAACACTTGTCGCTCTGAGAGTAACAAATCACTTGTCGCTCTGAGAGTAACAATAAAACACTTGTCGCTCTGACAGTAAAGAAAAAAATAAAAAGCATACCCAAGCTGCGAGAGTGATTTGATACCACCAATTTGTAATTGGAAAAGAAGTATATTGGCTCAAGCCTAAATCCTAGAAACACAAAATAAAACACTTGACATTGGAAGCATTATTACCTTGCATCGAGATTCAACAACACAAGTAAAAACGCTATGGGAACGAGAACTTTCAGCATTGATACTAGTTGCACCTGTCCTTCTACTTGATAATCCCTACATGATTCGTTCAGCAGCTTATTACAGGAATAAATGGATCAATCCATTTCTCTCAAGAAAAGAAAAACATTTGCATTCTAAACACAAAAATTGAATATCTTCTTCATGAAAGTCTATTAAAGAAATGAGCAATCAAAACATCGACCAAAGAAAAAGAAAACCTTTAGCAGTAGCTTAGTAACGCCCTTCATTGAATTCACATACTCTTCTGTCAAATTCTCAACATAGACGCCAGATTTTACATCTTCTCTTATCTGGATGAAAATGGTAGACCAGTATAAGAAACCCATTTTTTTCGTCCAGTAAAAAATGGCACCTGAAAAGTTAAATGATAATCCATTTTACCTGCAGGTTTCTTTGATTTGGATCCAATAAATCTGTTATTTGTTCATTATAAATCTGCAAAAGGAAATTGAAATGGAAGTGATAAGGGACAAGAATAATACAACGCCAAGCAATCCAATTAAATCAAAATTAAGAATCACAACAACTGAATTAACTCTACCTCAAGAAAAGAACAGCGACATTGATACTTGAGCTGTTTATCAGCATGCTTAATTTGCTCCTATAGAATAAAGAAGGTCAGAAAACAAACTATTGAAAAGGGTCCATTCTTGAAGTTAAAAAAACCAGCAAATTCATTGATGAGCACAAATTCAAAATTTTCACCTCATTTATACGATCAAATAATCGCTGAAACACACGAGGAGTTAAGCCCTGTTGATCACTTGATAAATTTTCTTCAAATAAGGCATTTGCTGGACCCCAAATTGTATAAGTCTTTCCACTGCCAGTCTAATGAAATCATTTTATTCAGACCCAGAAATTGAAAAACGGTATAAATCAATACAAAAGTATTTCACGCATGAAATCAAAGAAAATGAAGAAGCAAGTACCTGGCCATAAGCGAACACGGAACTGTTGAATCCAGCAAGACAATTTTCAACAAGAGGCGCTCCTACGAGCTGGAAGATATCATACTGCAGTAAAAACAAATAGGGCATTTCAGAATTAATTAAACATACGAAATTAATGAGAAAAAAAGCTTATTATTAGTGCCTGAGTTGCATCCGTGTTGGCAACTGAGTCAAAAGTGAAGGTCTGTCCGTTGATGCTCAAAGAATCACCAGTAATTTTCTCAATAATCGATTCCGCTTCTTCCTCTTCTTTAACCGGTGGTCGCATCCGTACAATCACCTTTTAAAAAAATGTTAAGATTTAAAAACTTAAACGTTGTAAACCTCATAAGTCATGATTAACTATTTTTCTTAAATAAAAAAAAGGAAGAAATACCTTGACACCGGAATCAGAAGCTCCAGAGATGGGATTTTCTTGGAGGGTTTCCGTGAGAAGCTTGCGTTTGAGAGGGTTAGAGGACGGGGGACGAGGTGGCAAAGGGCACTTGATCTTAGCTGTCGCGGCGGGGGAGAGTTGAGTGTTTGGATCTGGCGGTGGAGCGTTCTCCTTAGATGATTTGGAATGCTTTCGTTTGGATTTGGGAGGGTAGGGTTTGGGGAAGAAGCATTCTCCATCTGATCTCTCAAGATCGTGTTTCTTGGTAACATGAAATGCTTCATTTTCTGCTGTTTTCTCTTTTTCTTTCTCTTCTTTTGGCTTTTCAAAAAACAAAGAGCTGAAGTGATAGAAATGCAGCCGTTTGTGAAAAAGTCGGTTTGAATTTTGAAATTATGTTGGATCTGGAGCTTATTTGACTTTTTCGACCCCCGGGTCGGGTTGACCCATTCTTCACTGCCTTCAAACGGAGTATTTTATTTGTTTTGGTCTGGCCTTGATTTTTCCGAGTTGCCCTCATGGCATATTTTATCATTAAAAATTATTAAGTATTTAAAATAATTTTACACTAATATTTTATAATTAGATTTAATATTTTTAAATATATATATATTTTACCAAATCTCAAGCGGCCTCGCGACTAAAATTATAGAAATTTTCTTATACAAAGAAGTCGAATTTATCAAATTGAAATAGATAATATAATTATTAAATAATCTTATTTGAATCATTCTCATTAAATGGAGAAATGTTAGACAATAAAAGCATTATTAGGGCATCATTAGTTGTATTCATACTTAGAATAAATGTTATCACTAACCACATTTCTTATTCAATTCGTTAAATGTTTTTATGCTTCCTTTAGGTGCATGCATTTGTAAATTCTGAATTTATATCCTTGTTTTGTTCATGTTAATTTATATAATTTCCATTAAAACTGATTGAAAATATTGTTATTAGCATAATTTCTGTGGGTGCTGAAGTCATTAGACGATATTGCCATCTTTTTCAAATGCTTTGTATAGAATGATGCTATGTCTAACTCTAAATGCTACAAACATATTACATACATTGTATGAACTTTTGTACTAATGAAATATATATCATCATAAATTTCGTTTTAGAGCACACCAAAGATGCTCACTTGAATTAGTTTTGCTTCACAGCAATTATTCCAACAATCTCACATTTTGCAGTGTTTTGATGATTATTCAGAGAACCAAAAACAGAAACAATTGTTGTTCCTTTGTAGAAATTGTATTCATGGTGAACTTTGACTGAGATTCTGTTTTCTGGGGATTCATTCCTGGGGATCATTGTTGACTGGCTCGTGTGTGGCAGCATCACACAACCCTCGGGTTCCATCCCAATACAGCATCCGGTCCCTGCACCCCCCCCCCCAATTTCATGAAAAAACCAATTTTCTAATTTTCATTCTACTAATTCCAAGGGGAAAAACAACTTACAAAAGAAGTAGATAACGTTCATGAAACCTTGGAATGTCAGGCGAAATCTGAAAACAATAAGTGCAACTAATTAAATTTATGCACTCGGATACTGTCTGTGTAACCAATATTCATCCAAAGTAACTTACAAATCTGCCGCCAAGTTGCGTGCTGCATCCATTGCAATGGACATTCACCGATGGCAAACCATGGAGTAACTTAGGAGCTGCTATATCATCCATCCGCACATTGTCACTGTGCATCAACGAAGCACAAAGATTAAATTAAAGTTATTGTAGTCAATGAACAACTGTTGTTTGGGATATTGTGTCATTCAGTTGAGAGGTATCTTACACTGTGAGGAAGAGCAATCCATTAAATGCCTGAACATACGATTCAAAAGTAAGCAAGAATGTCAAAAAGATGGCAAAGCAAAATCATAAAATATCTTACACCTCGGTTCATGAACACAATCAAAATTAACTCGATAGTAAAATAAGAATCTTGAAGAGAGAGAGAGAGAGAGATGATACTTGGCCAAGGCTGTTGTTAAAGGTGGCGAGGTGGTTTCTGCAGGTCCTGCATAACATGAACCGAGTTTCAGCGTTCATTGGATACCTAACTGCGTTTGGAGGCGTCGCCATTGTTGAAGTCCAGGAAATGATCTGCTTTGATTGTTTCCGCTGAGTCCAAGAAACACCGTCGAGTAGTGAATGATTTTCTGAAATGGATTTGTGTACTTATAATGTTTCAATAGTTATGCATGAAAGATGGTGACTAATCTAAAATAATGTTCTAGTAGTTGTGACTATTACTAAGAAAAGTTGTGATTTTTGAAGGATAAAAGTCATTGTTTGTCTTCTTAGAGTCGTTCTTGCTTAATATTCAGCAGCATTTCCACGCCCGAGATACCTATCAACACGACTGCACCTCATCCAAACACTACTATTAATATAACAACAATGTACGATAAGCCATTGCTATTACTATAACCTTTAACAATAAATTGTTTTTTCAGTACGTTTTCTATTAAGAGTTCGCACGATAACTTTTGTCGTTGCTAATGATAACTAAAAGTTAAATTACAATTGTCGAAATCGGTGGTTTGAAAAAAAAATAGTGAATCTTTGAAGAGCCGGTTAATGTTGGAGTCGTCCTCCATTGTTTTGGGATAGATATGACCGAATACTTGTAATCTAGTCTGTATCTAACACTAAGATCATAGTCTGATTTGAGAATCGATTATATCTGAAGAAGGTTAAAACATCCAAAATTGATATTTCACTAAAAAACATATATATATATATGTTGCCTTGTTTTTCTTTAAATAATGAAGCATGAAAAATGACATTAATAATATAATTAATAATAATAAATAAATATGTTAGAACTAAATATAAGGAAATGAAACTTACAACTGTTTAAATAGTAATTAATTTGTAAAATATGCTAAAGTGAACGAAATTAAAATTAAAGGGCTTAAATGCAATTATACATGTTGATATACTAAATTATAAGAATCAGAAATTAAAAAGGGTCAAAATAAGATTAAACAAACAAAAAGGATGAAATTACAACAAATATAAAAAAATAAGGATCATGGAAATAATTTATCCAAAAGTTCCAAAACATGTGAGTCCTGACTATAGACCCGGATGAAGCACAGATCAAATACCATATTAATCGTCCAAAAATGGTGCACCGTATTGAGTTTTGAACATTACTCCTAAAAGGTCAAAACAACGTCGTTTTAAAATAATTTAAATACTTTATTTTTCACTTTTCTTTTCTTTTTCCTCCCTTCAACATTTTTCTCTACTCTCTCTTTAAAGTTGGCCGTCGTCTTTGTGGTATGTCATCGTGGTTTGACTGTTGTTTGTCATAGTTAACAATAATCTTTCAGTTTCAAATTTTATTAATCGACTCCTTAAAACCTCAAATCTGATTCTAATATAATTTTCGCCAAAAGAAAATAGTTGGACGCGCATAAATCTTGTCGGAAAGTTTTCGGCCTCTTCTTCGTCCGTCTCACAACAACGTGACTGCCAGTTACATTGGGTCTTCAACATATCACCTGTGTAGGAACTACGTCCACCAAATCTTACACTGTTATTTGCCTACTGCCTTCATAACTAGATTTTAATTATTTAAATGCATCAGATTTACGGAAATTTTAAAAAACAATTCGTTAATATAAAGTTAAAATTCAATAAAAGTGAATTGTGATGGGGAATCTCATCAAGAGCTTTACCTTTTAGGTTGGATAAGATAATTAAGGATATTTAATGAATTAAGTAGTTCGTAAGCTGTTTTAACACGACTCGATTAATGTTCGACTTGTGTTGACTCAACCTAAACTCGAGCTCGATTCGAGACCTTAATAAGTTGAGTCGAGCAGAGTCCAGCTCGACTCGATAAGTTCGCAAGCAGTTCGTTAATTTTTTTTTTAATTTTTTAGTAATTACCTTAAAAAATTATTCCATTCAGAAAAATTTTAAAAAGAGAAAATCGCCTCAGTGACCAAAAAAAAGTTATAATATACGATTTTAACCAACTTTTTTTGGATTTGCCAAAATGACCAACAAAATCGCAACGCGAAATAAAAATCGCAACGCGATCCCCAGAATCGCAAATCAGTTTCCAGAATCGCAAATCAGTTTCCAAAATCGCAACGCGATTCTTGAAAATCGCGATGCGATAGTACAAATTCGCATTGCGATTTTCCATAATCGCAACGCGAATATGAAAATCGCAACGCGAACACATAAATCGCAACGCGTATCCGTAAATCGCAACGTGTATCCGTAAATCGCAACGCGTATGGGTAAATCGCAATGCGTATCCGTATATCGCAACGCGTATCCGTAAATCGCAACGATAATACATAAAATCGCAACGCGTATCCGTAAATCGCAACGCGATATTTAAAGCGCCATTATAATCGCTACGCGTATTTTATTTTCAAATTACAAAAAGATATTAAGACAAAATCCCGTAATCGCAACTCATAACCTAAAACCTAAAATCACAACTCAGTCCCATCTCCATCTCTCACTCTCTACGGCGAAGAAATCCGTCCCCATCTCCGAAGATTTCCGTCCCCATCTCCGGCGAAATCCCTCACAACCATTCACGGTCAGAAATCCCTCACAATATTCAGAAATGGAAAATCAACCTCCGAGGGTTAGTTTTTTTAATTATTTTTATTTTGAAATGTTTGCATTATTGTAGGTTTTTCATATTGAAACTGATGATAAGTTTACTGGTCATTTCAATAATAGATTAACCATTTCACTTAGATTTCATTTCGCGTTACGATTCTGTCGTTGCGATTTTCATTTCGCGTTGCTATTCTCTCGTTGCGATTTTCAAGTTAGTATTTGTCTTTGTCTTTGTTCTGTCTTTTGGTTGAAGTAATGCAATCCATTCAAGTTTCAATTTGCAGAAGAGTCGCAACGAGATAAATGAAAATCGCAACGAGAGAATGACTGTCGCAACGAGAGAATCGCAACGCGAAATGAAAATCGCAACGAGAGAATCGCAACGCGAAACCAAAATCGCATTGCGATTTTCATTTCGCGTTGCGATTTTCATTTCGCGTTGCGATTCTCTCGTTGCGATTGTCATCTCGCGTTGCGATTCTCTCGTTGCGATTTTCATTTCAACCAAAAGACAAAACAGTGTTGCAAATTTTAGTTTCAAGAATAAACTACTACTTTTTATGTTTATTGTTTTTGGTATATCTTCACAGTGTAGTTTTTGGTATATCTAACTTGGTATGTTTATTGTTTTTGTAGAAATTTTTTTCGGCTCAATTGACCTTGAGAAATAAAGTCAGCCTGGCCACTACAATTGCAAAGAAGCTTTCACCTGCTCAAAGACAATTACAAACGCTTATTTTTTGATTGTTTAATTGATTTGTAAAAGATGATTTGTAAAAGTTGATTTGTGTAATTGATGCGAACATAATTCTTATTTGTGCTTGTTTAATTGATTGAAATGTAATGGTTGATTTTGTTGATTTCAATCTGCATTATGTTGAAGGCAAAAATGACTATCGCAATGCGAAATGAAAATCGCAACGAGAGAATCGCAATGCGAAATGAAAATCGCAATGCGGAAATGAAAATCGCAATGCGTTTATAATTTCGCATTGCGATTATCTCGTTGCGATTTTCATTTCGCATTGCGATTTTCATTTCGCATTGCGATTCTTTCGTTGCGATTTTCATTTCGCATTGCGATTTTCATTTCGCATTGCGATTTTAATTTCGCATTGCGATTCTGTCGTTGCGATTTTCATTTCGCATTGCGATTTTCATTTCGCATTGCGATTCTCTCGTTGCGATTTTCATTTCGCATTGCGATTTTCATTTCGCGTTGCGATTCTCTCGTTGCGATTTTCATTTCCGCATTGCGATTTTCATGTTGGGATTTTCATTTCGCGTTGCGATTGTATTTTCCGTGTTGCGATAGTCAAATGCATGCCTAATAGTGATAACAACTGAATAACAAGAGTTGGTTAAGTCAAAATGGTTGGCCTGAGTCATTAATTCAACTGAAAATGTTAAAAGTTCACACATAAAATCCACATAATACAACGTTTGCATTTAAAAATCACCTAAGTTAACAGTCTCAAAAGGTGAAGCCAATCGTGATTGGGATTTTAAAGATGATTGCCTTTTGCTTGACACCATATGAGCTTTGGATTTTGATGAGGATCCATATTTTGGTAGAGGAAAAGATGATTTTGATGGCACTGGTGATCCACATGTCAACCTTGTATGACCACTTTCCTTGCACCGACTACATGTCGATCTCTTCTTCTCTTCACCCTTAGACGGTATACGATCGTGACTTTTTGGTCGGCCAGGTAGCCTTCTGTCCATGGCTGGTGGCAAAACTGTTTGTAAGTCATCTGGTATGTCCCACTCAGAAGGATGTGGAATAGGGTAGACAATCTCGGCATAAGTCTGTCGATAAACTTCTGTAGTGTAGCAATCCATAGCGTATGCGCTTGAATCATCTGGTTTAAATGAAGAGCAACTTTTATAACATGGCCACACGGATAACCAGATGTTTGCCATTTCATACAACTACACGTCTTTGCATTTAGATCGACTAGCCCATTTAAGTTATTATCCAGTACTTGAAACAAAGTGTTTGAACATGGTTCAACTCTCCATGACGTTGACTTCACAACACGTTTCGTTATCTTTTTTTCAGTCCATGGTGTAACACGATGTTCCAATGTTCCT